TTATCTGTTTTGATGTTTTCTCGTGAAATATTTGACATTTTGTAATATGCTCAGCGAAATTGAATTGTAGCAAAATACTTGTAGCCCTCTTCTTTGACGTTTTCTTAGAGCATGTTATTGCTGTGTAATGATCTTTGACCACAAATGTTTTTTTGACCATGATAAACTAGTAATAAAAAAATGGGCGCCGTTGGAACTGCGGAATGCCATTTGGTGCGAAACTCCAATCACAGAGGATATTCGTCAAATCTCTTTTTTTTGTAATGTTCCCCTATTCGGGAGAATGTGCAGCTTTGAACATCGGAAATAGAACGTTATAAAGCAGTGAATTTGGTTTTTATAAGTCAGTTTTTTATCATTTTCTTCCGTTTCGAAGCCGATGTGAATTAATCTTGCATTTTGCAGCATGGAAGTGAAGGGCGGGGAGCAGCTGGCTAATGAAGCATCTTTGGAAAGGAAGCGTTTGGATTATTTGAAAGCAGCTGTTAATAAGGTTCAAACAAATTTTTTATGTGTGATTGCAAACAGATGTGTTTTCAAGAAAGATTAGCATCTCCTAGTCAGTGGACGGGAATTAAAGATGGGAACAGCGGCGAGTTGGTTTTTTTTTTGTGTGTCATTAAAGCAATCTGTGTTTTCGACATCACTTTCGAACGAAAGATTGCTGAAATTTTTTTTTTTTTGCTGCCTTCTTAAATGTTTGGACCGGCCTTCTGCTGCTGCGCCTCTGTCTGTGTCTCTGTGCAGTCACAGAGTTACGTATGTTAATAATCTTGAATACGTGCTGCTTCATCATCGTGTTGCTTCTCACCTTTGGTGCAGCCGATAACTTCTCGATTCTGAGCTTACCGCATTCCTGCAGTCGCAGATGGGTTCATTCCACTGATATCTTGCTACTACGCATTTTAGCTCTGTAGGGTTATTTTTATCGGAAAATTGCAAATTCTCGGAGTTTTTTGTAAAAAGTTTAAGTTGAATAGCAAAAGATTTAAAGATATTTTCTTTTCAATCTGGCTGTGTAGAAACAAAGTTAGCGATAATAAAAACATGAAAAATGGGAAGGGTGTCCGGCAAGAATGCAGAGGTATGTTAGATAAGGATTTTTCAGTGGGCGTTTTTTATCATGATTTTTTTTTTAAATGCCCGTATTTTGCAAACTGATTTTAATGGTCATTCTCTGGGGTAAACTTCATAATAAATAATTTAGAGCAGGGTGACGGTGCTGAAGGTGTTTATGTTTTCCTGCTGTGGAATATGTGATTTCCGAAAATGTGTGTGCGCGTTCTTTTGTAGAGCTAAGCGTTATTTAACATGATCATATTACAGGAGATAGGTTTTTGTGATGCAGAAATAGCAAAAAGGAAGCTGGAGATCGATAGTTACAGGACATTGCAAAAACGCCTCGAGGAGCTGCCGAAAAAGCTTTCTCACCAAATTAACGTATGCCCAGCTTTTCATTTATTATGCGTTTTGCATCTATGCAATGCAGAAAACGCATATTGACGTGAGTATTTGTGTGTGTATGTGTGTGCGTGTTCGCCTTTGCCGATTTTTCATCTCGAGACTTACAAAAGCTACAGGGCTAAAACTTTGGGAACTTGATCTGCATGCATATACGTGCCCCATTTCCAAAATTGGACGGACTCACCACCCACGCACGGACCCCCCAAAGTTGTTGATGGGCAAGCTGCTAATTCGGAAAGCTAGAAAGCTGAAATTTGAAGAGGGTGTTTCG